CCGGCCTGCACCCTCTCCAATCCAGGACCCCTCGGGGATGTCTGACTGCCTCTCGCAATCCGGGACCGCTGGCTCCTAACCGCTCACCTGCCTGATTGCCCCTAACCACCCCTGCCTGCCTGCCTGATCGCCCCTAACTGCTCCCCTGCTGGCTTGATCGACCCTAACTGCCTCTGCCTCACCCCACACCTGGGACCCAGGATTCCCTCTTCCAGCCAGTCGCAGGCACCTGGGACATGGGCTTCCCTCCCTCTGACCGGCTGCAGGCACTCAGGTCCCGGGCCAGCTTCACCTGGGCCATAGCCACAGGAGCCAGGGACCACAGGGTGGATGGCTTGTCCCTCTCCTGGGCCGCAAGAGCAGGCACAGCCGTTGGCGCCCGGGACTGTGGGGAAGGTGGCTTGTCCCTCTCCTGGGCCGCAGGTACAGACACAGCTGCTGGCACCTAAGATCACGGGGCGGGTGGCTTATCCCTCTCCTGGGCGGCAGTCTGGCTGGTCTCCATTCCTCTCTCGTGAGCTCATTTGTGCCTGACTGGTCCCCGTTCCTCTCTCCCCAGTGTTGAGTGTCTGAGCCATTACGGTGTGATGGCATGAGGGCGTGACAACCATTTGTACATTAGCTCTTTATTATATCGGATTGTCCAGCTCTAATTCTATGATCACATTCCAATCCTCTTGAACGTACCCAGATTATGCATGTACATATTATGTATATTTTCTATCTCTTACAATTTTCCTTCTGCTATTGCTTACATTTTCTGGGATCATTCTATATTTAATGATCTAAGAATTTAAAACAACAATGACACTAAGAGGCTAATTTAATAAAGACCAAACAATCTGCATCATTAACCCCTCTTGTCTATTCCCCAAAACAAATTATGTGATGGCTCAGTGGGAAGGCAAGCACGGCACCTTTGCAGTAGTCTGCGGGGTCCTCCTGCTCCTCATCGTCTGAACCCAGGATCTCCTCCTCTGGCTCTGGGGGCGTGGGGTCTGGCAAAGGTGGCGGTGGTGGTGGAGGTGGTGGTGGAGGAACTAAGGGAGCTTTCTGTTGAGGCTCCGGCCTGAAACAGCAGAAGGAAAATTCGTACTTATTTAGAAGTAAATCTTGCATTGTGGATATTCTTGAAAGTTTCTTAATATGGAAAAAAACAGAACTTGTCATACGCTAAAAAGAAATGATGAGTAACGTCACTGCCTCCATTTTAACTGAATTCAAGTGATGTTTCAACATACAGGCCAGGAGGGAAGACTATCCTTAATATCCAAGGCATATTCTTGCAGGCACATTTTCACCCAGAGCTTTAATATTTTTTAATTCATGACAATATTATAAAATACAAGTGAAATAAAAGAGTGCTTCCCCATGATATACAAACACATCCCACAGAGATTATAAAAAGACATGTGAAAGTAGTCCTGCACTTATAAAGGGGCTTATTTTCCATTATTTTAAAATCAGAGTTTCTTTTCCCACAGAAATAGTAGGAGTATGATTAGATATCCTGGATAGCTCACTAAAGGTGGCTAAAATAACCTGGCCTATTTGGCTCAGTGGTTGAGAATCAACCTATGAACCAGGTCACCGGTCCAATCCGGTCAGGGCACATGCCGGGTTGTGGGCTAGATCCCAAGTAGGGGGCGTGCAGAAGGCAGCCAATCAATGATTCTCTCACATCACTGATGTTTCTCTCTCTCTCCCTCTCTAGAATCCTCCTCCCTCCTCCCCTCCCCCATCTCTGAAAAGCAATGGAAAAAATATCCTCATGAGAGGATTAACCAAGTAATAGTATTCTTTACCCATTTAGTGAGTTGCCCATGTCGCTTAACAAAATTCCCAGACCATCTTGTCTCAGCGAGCAGGCACTTATCCCACCAGTGAGGGCTACAATGAACAGTCAGGAAAAAGCTCCCCCCAAAGCCACATGAATCAAGTCAAAGGGATCAGTCAGGGTACCTTGAAGTGCACAGGAAGTTGAGTAATGTTGATGCAATATTTCAACTGGTTATCAAAACATCTAGAACTGTGCTGTCCAACACAGGAGCCACTGGCCACATGTGGGTACTGAGCAACTGAAATGTGGCTAGTCCCAATTGAGATATGCTCTAAGTGTAAAATGTGTACTGAATTTCTAAGAAAAAATGCAAAATTTTATTAATAATTTTATATGTATTATATGTTAAAAATAATCTTCTAGATATAATAGAATATCTTATTAAATTTTAATTCACCTGATTCTTTTTACTTTTGTTAATGTGGCTACTAGAATACTCTGGAGGCTCACACTATACTTCTGGATAGCACTACTCTAGCCTCTTCAGATCCACCGATACAAAAGGAAAAGCTTGGCCTCAGAAGTCGGAGACACCTGGTCACACCAGTGATGATTATTTTTTCCAAGGCTTCTCCTATTAATCTTCTTCACATCCGTTATCGTCAACTCTCAAATCACTCAATTCATCCTAGTAAGATTCAATACAATGTAATTGTCAAGTGTTATAATCCCAATCACCTATCCATCCTTGTTACTGCCGACCACACAGGAGAAACATAGTAGATTTGTGTTAGGGAATATGTATGCAAGAGAGAACAATGCCACACCACCTTCAAGGCTGGCTTCTTCAAAGTGGTTTCTGGGAGCTTCTATAGTACTTCAAAGCCTGATTAAATCTCAACTGTTTAAAAATCAAGAGGTGACAGGTTATCTTACCAAGTACGTACTCATAAAATATATTTAATCAATCTTTTTAAGAAGTTATCTTATGTAAGAATTACTAAAAGCATTTAAGACATCATAGGAGGAGAACCCACAAATATTTTTTTACAAGGGTGCCAACACAATTAAATGGTGAAAGACTAGTCTTTTCAACTGTACTGGGAAAAATGTGTATCAGTATGCAAACAACTAAAATTGTAACCCTATCTCTCTCTCTCTCTCTCTCACACACACACACACACACACACACACACACACTCACACACACACACATTTTCGGGGTTGGGGAGAGAGAAACAAACATCGACCTCCTGCTCCACCCATCCACGCATTCACTGGCTTACACCTGCAACCTTGGCTCATCAGGTCGATGCTCCAACCAACTGAGCACACATACATACTGATTCAAAAATTAGTTCAAGACCTAAATAAAGGAATAGAAACTATAAACCTTGCAGGAAAAAAAAAACACGTAAGTAAACTTTCATCACTTTATAAGTTAGACCAGTGGTCTGCAAACTGTGGATCGAAAGCCACATGCGGCTCTTTGGCCCCTTGAGTGTGGCTCTTCCACAAAATAACACGTGTGGGCGTGCACATACAGTGCGATTGAAACTTCGTGCCCATGCACAGAAGTCGGTATTTTGTGAAAGAGCCCCACTCAAGGGGCCAAAGAGCCGCGTGTGGCTCGCGAGCCGCAGTTTGCCAACCACTGGGTTAGACAATGTTTGTTAGATATGACACCAAAAGCATGAGCAATTTAAAAAGATATAATCTAGTCCAGCCAGCTTCACTCAGTGGTTGAAAGGTGATCCATGAACCTAGAGGTCATGGTTTGATTCCTGTTCAGAAAACATGCCTGGGTTGCGGGCTTGATCCCCAGTAGGGGGCATGCACGCAGCAGAGGATCAATGATTCTCTCTCATCATTGATGTTTTTAATTCTCCCTCCCTCTGCCTTACTCTCTGACATCAATAAAGATATATTAAAATATATAAAAATTAAAAATAAAGATACAAAACTAGATTTGATCAAAATTATGAACTTCTGTGCTCCAAAGGGCATCATCAAGAAAGAAAGACAGCCTGGACTGTGTGACTCATTGGGTGAGTGTCAACCTATGAACTAGGAGGTCATGGTTCAATTCCCAGTCAGGGCACATGGCCCGTTTTCAGGCTTGATCCCCAGTGGGGAGCAGCCAATCAATGATTCTCTCTCGTCACTGATGTTACTATTTCTCTCTCCATCTCCCTTCCTCTCTGAAATCAATAAAAAAAAATAGTAAAGGCAGACCACAGAATGGAAGAAAATATCTGCAAATCATACAATAAGGAACTTGTATCTAGAATATAAAAAGAACTCTTACAATTAAAAAAAAAATTTAAAAATTTTAAAAGGACTATAATAGATGTTTCCCCAAAGAAGATATACAAATGACCAATAAGCACATGAAAAGATGTTCCATATCATTAGTCATTAGGGAAATGGAAATCAGTGATGAGACACCACTGTCAAGAATGAAGAAATTGGAACCCTCATACGTCATAGCAAGGTGTAATGTGATATTACTCTTTTGGAATATCTTGCAGCTCCTAAAAAGTATGAATTCCAAGGTACCATATGACCCAATTCCATTTAGAGCAGTGGTTCTCAACCTTGGCTGCACATTAGAATCACCTGGAATCTTTTTAAAATCCTGATTTCTGGGCCTCCTCCTCCGGAAATTCTGTTTCTTTGTTATTAATGTTGTGGCCCCACCCCATAACATAGAAACAGAATTTCCAGAGGATGAGGCTCAGAAATCAGGATTTAAAAAGATTCCCAGGTGATTCTAATGTGCAGCCAAGGTTGAGAACCACTGATTTATAGGTGTATATACCCAAAAGAAGAGAAAACATACAATGTGGGCAAAAGTAGATTTATAGTTTTGAGTATGCGAAACACAGTTTATTACTGTATTGTTATTTATTATTGTATTATTTGTCTTATTATTTTGTATCCTTACTTATGATTCATTGCTGGGGTCCAACCCCAGCGGGTCCAGGGGTCCCCAAAGGTGTGGACGGAGTCGGCGAAGAAGGAATGACACGGAGACAACGTTCAGTTGATCAGTAGCCTTGCCAGGATCTCTAGCCACAATCTCTAGCCAAGTTCTGTGTCCATGTTCTCCAGGTTCTCCAGCCAGCCAGGTTCAGTCACCAGGTTCTAGTCAGGTTCTCTTGCCATGTTCTATCCAGGTTCTGTAGCCACGTTCTAGCTTAAGCATGATTGTTCGTAGTTAAAGAGATTAATTACCCGCCTGGCACTTAGTGAAGGGGTTTTATTCCCTCCCTGACTTCAGGGGGAAATCTCTACCAGGGGAAACAACCTTTCTCGGAGAGGTGACCTTGGTTAAAACACATAGCGCCAAGAAGGTGAGCAAATATATTAAGAACAATATGCCATATATGCCAGGTCCCTTGAAACAGCAAGGATGGACCGGCTCCCGGCAATTCATCTTTTAGTAATGTCTTTTTCGGTTCAAACAACTGTAAACCTACTTTTGCTACCCTTATGTTCCTACAAACTGTTGTGCAAAAATATTCATAGCAACATTATTCGTAACAGACATAAAGCAGAAACAACCCAAATATGCAACAACTGATAAAAGTAGCATATCCTTGCAATGCATTATTATTCAGCAATAAAAAGGAATGAAGTACTGATCCATGCTACAACATGGATCACCCTTGAAAACATGCTAAGTGAAAATGCCAGTCATAAAAGACCACATTATATGATTCCATTTTATATTGAAACTAGAGGCCCGGGGCACGAAATTTGTGCAAGGGGGGGGCGGAGGGTGAGAAGGGGTGTTCCTCAGCCCAAGCCTTCACCTTCTCCAATCTGGGACCACTCGGAGGATGTCCCACTGCCCACCAGGATCAGGTCTAAACGGGCAGTCAGGCATCCCTCTCACAATCCAGGACTGCTGGCTCCCAACCGCTCACCTGCCTGCCTGTCTGATTGCCCCTATCCACTTCTGCCTGCCAGCCTGATTGACGCCTAACTGCTCCCCTGAACGGCCCAATCGCCCTCAACTGCCCTCCCCTGCTGGCCTGGTCAGCCCAACTGCCCTGGTCCCCTCAACTGCTCTCCCTCCGTGAAGGCCCGATTCCCCCCAACTGCCCTTCCCTGCCAGCCATTTTGTGGTGGCCATCTTATGTGAGGGGGTGAGGGTCAATTTGCATATTTCCTCTTTATCACATAGGAGTAGAGGCCTGATGCACAAAATTCGTGCAAGAAAGGCCTTCCTTCCCCCAGCTGCCAGCACCGGCTTCCCTCTGGCACTCGGGACTCGGGCTTCC